ATGTCCTAAGGACGCCTACCCCCTCCCTAACATTGACAAGCTCGTTGATAACTCAGTGGGCTTCAAGCTCTTGTCCTTTATGGATGCATACTCGGGATACAACCATATCCCAATGGCCGAGCAAGACAAACAGAGCACGACCTTCATGACGACGTCAGGCAACTATTACTACAACGTAATGCCCTTCGGCCTAAAGAACGTCGGTGCCACGTATCAACGGATGATGAACAAAGTCTTCTGGGGAGAAATCGACGACATGCTCGAGATGTACATGGACGACATGATTGTCAAATCCTACACGGAAGTCGACCACACGGCCCATCTCAGAAAGGTCTTCGACACAGCGAGGAACTGCCGAATGCAATTCAACCCGGAGAAATGCACCTTCGGTGTCCGCGCAAGAAAATTCCTCGGCTACTACCTGACCGAGCATGGGATCGAAGCGAATCCGGACAAGTGCCACGCATTTTCAGAACTTTCCACACCCACCTCGAAGAAATCCATACAATCCCTCAACGGCGTCCTCGCCTCACTTTCCGGGTTCATCGCCAAATCGGCACAACACACCCTCCGTTTCTTTAAGCTGCTCATAAAGGAGACCACGTTTGAATGGACAGAGGAATGTAAGCAAGCCCTCCGCAACCTCAAATGCGTCCTGTCCGAACCTCCGGTGCTGACACGCCCCACAACGGGAGAAACCCTATACCTTTACCTAGTCGTCGCTAACGAGGTCGTCAGCGCCGTCCTGATCAAAGAAACCCAAGAAGGGCAAAAGCCAATCTACTTCACGAGCAAAGCCCTCCATGGGCCTGAAGTTCGATACCATCTGATCGAAAAATTTTCCTTAGCTCTCATCACCGCTTCCCGACGTCTCCGACATTACTTCTTAGCACACACTATCGTGCTCCGAACCGACCAGCCCGTCCGACAGCTCCTCGGCCGACCAGACATGGTTGGGCGCATGTTGAAATGGTCATTAGAGCTATCTGAGTTCGACATCATCTACGAAGGAAGGAAAGCCCTCAAGGCCCAAGCCCTGGCCGATTTTGTCGCCGAGATGACCTCCTCGCCGGACCCTACCGCGGGGAGCCACAGCTGGACTATCTTCGTCGACGGGTCCTCAAACTCCACGGGCAGCAGAGCAGACATCATCCTCGACAACAGAGAAGGCACCATCATAGAGGTCTCCTTGACACTGGCCTTCCCAACGACGAACAACCAAGCCGAGTACGAGGCATTCCTGGCCGGACTTCGCTTGGCATCAGATCTCGGGGCCAACGAGATTAAAATCTACACAGATTCCCAGCGGCAAGTTGCGCACAAACGAAACTATCTTCAGATAGCTGGCCATATCCTCTTCGTCGAGCGACCCCGCGCGCACGATGTACCGACCTGTTCCCCGAGAATAGTGCTCCAGAGACCATTCCATGTGCACCCGTGGCAGCATGACGGCCTCGTGACGACCATCCACGATCCTCTCCCCCTCTGAATATAAAGAACGAACCCCTTCATGCGCGATCAGGCTGACCATGAAGAAACGACCTTTGAAGTCCCGAACAGAATCCATATACGTTCTGAAACGCCTGTCTAGTTGCTTGAACGACACCCAGCCATGTCGACCACTCACCATCTTCTGTTGCAGATGGAAGATACGAAAGAACAGCGGCAGCGTGACACCGACCTGGAGATAGTGGCATACAACCTCGAAGGCCCGAATAAAAGCCAGGGCGTTTGGGTGCAACTGCGACGGGGCCAACCTCATCCAGTCGAAGAGGCCCAGGTGGAAGTCCAAGAATGGCAACCTGAGCCTGGCCTCTTTGAAGTAGAACTCATACATCGGGAAGCGCATCCGCCCATATTTCGAGCAGATTCGATGGCCTGGCCGGGGACGATAGACTTGCCAGTTCTGGGGATCCCCTTCTTCCCGGTCCTCCACGGTGGCATAGATAGAGGCTCCTCGGCCACCCAGTCACCGACCGGAACATCGCGCTCGTTGAAATGTGGGACATCCGATTCATTATCCTCGACCATCGTGCCCAGGACAAACGTAGTAATTAACACCTGAAAAGCAGAAGGTAACGGTGAATTTGATGACAAAGATCAAATTCACCCTTCCAGCGCAGGTCAAGTGAAAGGGCGACGAGGACACCCCGAGCATCGTCCTCGGTGGATCTACCCGAAACCTACCACCTCCCCGGTTACCAGCATGGCCCAACCTACAAACTCTCCCTGGGGGCGTCCATCGGAATAAACGTCGCTCCCCGGGACGTTCAACGCAGTAAGAATCTTTCCCTGGGGAATTCATCGGAACAAGCGTCCTTCCCCGGGGCATTCATCGAAACTAGCATCTCTCCTCGGGACGCTCATAATAAAAACCCTAGAAAACCCCCCTACAACGGCGGATACCTTCACCTCTCCTCGGGGCATTCAAACTGCCCCGACCACAGTCGTAAAACAAACAAGAAAACGGAAGAAAAGAGAAAGAAACTTACTGCGATATGATCTGCGACGGAGTACGTGGTGGTTGTGACGGCGGCGGGACAACAAACAGAAAACTTGAGAGCAAGAGGGTGAAAAGTGGAGAATGAGCGGGGGCTCGCTTACTTATACCCCAGCACGGGACTCGAAGCGTCGCTAGGCACTCGAGTACCCTAGGGTAGCCGCCCAAGAAGCCACCTAGTGCGCGACACATGGCGAAAGCAGACAGTCGCGCCCCCTCGCATTTCCTCTCCAACACATGTCCTCAAGCCCGGGCAATCAACGGCGTAGAAGGACGCACGTGCTCGCGCCCCGCGGAACACGACCTAGAGGGTTTTTCCCCGGGCCAGTTCCCTTCCCCAGAACGACGTCATCAAGTCCTCGCTCCCTTCCTCAGAGCTACGACTTGGGGGGCTCCTGTTCTGGCCTGGGTCCAGGCCTGGCCAAGCGGACCCAGCCCAATAATATTCCACCAAGCCCAGTCCAGCTTGGGCCACAACGTCGGGCACCGGGTCCCCGACGAGCAAGAAAGGTCTCCCCGCAAGAAGGACCCGCCCTAACTACGTCGGGCAGGAGACACCCCTCTCGACCAAACACTGCCCTCCGCGGGCAAGACCTGCCCCACCCCCCCACCCCCCACCCCCGGCGCGCGCGCGGGCAGAACCCGCACCTTGTCGCGCGGGACAACGTGTCCTTCACACGTTCTCCATGTGCTCCCCTCCTCGGGGACACGTCATCCACCAACTGCCCACCTCCGAAAGAGCAGGTCAACCCACTTTTCGGAGTTCACGGAGCAGTTGAATTAGGGTGAAGACCACGTTCTGGTCTTCACTACGCCACGTAAGCCCTAGCAGTCACCTTGGTTGGGCCTGGCAACCCAGCCCAACGCAAGTGACCGTTGGCCCAGCGTTGGGGTCTCTCTATAAATACCCTCTTCCACAAGAGGGTCAGGTAATTCACTTCTTACCCTTTTTTCTGTGCTTGTGACCACTCTGTCCATATACTTACTGTGGTATCGGAGTGCCTTGCAGGTACACCCCCACCTCCTCCTCATCAAATTTTTCTAACGCCCTTTATTACATAGCAGTTACAACAGTGTGTCAGCAAACCCAATATATATATATATATATATATATATATATATATATATATATATATATATATATATATATATATATATATATATATATATATATATATATATATATATATATATATATATATATATATATATATATATATATATATATATATATATATATATATATATATATATATATATATATATATATATATATATATATATATATATATATATATATATATAAAATTAAGGTGAAAAGAAGTTTAGTATTTGACTAAATATAAAATACGAAGGAATGCGCCACTTTTAAAAAAATAAAATAAAAAAGTAATTGTAATTTATAGAATTCAGAGCATATACCATGAATTAGTTTACCTCTTGGTTATTTATCAAAATCGATGAAGTAGATGATATTTTTTTGAGAAAAAAAAAACGTGGTGTGTCCAGGAATTACACCTCAATTTTTTGTTAGGTGAGATGAAAGTCTTGTTATAAAGTGTATTATTTATAGTACTGTTAGCTTGTAAAAGGTTTATGTTCAGATTGAATCTTTAATGTTAATGTTTTCTGGATATCTTAATTTAAGTTTTGTTTAAGTTATATGTGTTTAATGACTCATCACCATTCCTACAAGATATAGTTGACATCCGATTACGTGCGCCGGTTGCTTCTAGTCTTTTTATGAATCTCAACACCGCTAATTTTTTGTTGTTGTTGTAAAGATTGTGTATAAGATTTCTGTTATAAATGTATTTGATTCTGTCATTGTGAGTATAGTTTTAAATATGTATCTATGTTCTCTTGGTGTACCATTTTGGATAAATGAATATTTGGTCTTGTAAACAATGTAATTTAGTATCTCGTGTACATTTGGTTCAGTTCTATTTTAAAAAAAGTTGTTTAGATTATGTGACAAAATTTGTATATAAAAGAAACCGACATGAAAACTTCCTTTTGTTCTCGGATAGTAACATAAATTGAGATGTATGTGGTGCACACTTTATAGTTTTGAAAATATAAAAATATTGTTGTTGGAGATCGAACCATTGACCAATAAATTGTTTACTTCGGTGGATCTACAATCGAGAAGAAAAGTGACAAATTTTTCTAACACTCTTCATTATTTCGCATGTGAAACCGGAATAAAACCTATTTTCCAACTGAATTAAAAAGTGTTTTTCATAATAGTAAAATAAAGAAAAAGAATAAGGGATTCATCCCAAATTAGAAATTTAGGCAAAGAGATGAACACAACGACAATGAGAGAACCGACAGGGGTATATAAGTGTCAAAGAAAACATTGAAAAAATTACTAAAAAAAAAAAGAAAGAATTGAAAGAGTAGAGCATAACTAGAAGAAAATGCAAATTCAACAATTTATCTTACAGTTCAGATTGTCATCTTAAACCTGAATTTATTTATACAATCATATACTGAGTTAGTTATTTAGTAAGTCCACAATTATGGTAGAAACTAACCCAGTGATGTCACCTGTTGCAGTAGACCATACTATCTCAATACCATATTTTGCTAACGACAATATCCAACTATTCTTTTTATTATCAAGAGGATACCCAACAACAGTACCTGGTTTCACACCATTCCCCTCATTCTTTATCATCTTCACAATGATTGGATCAAAAGCACTTGAAAGAATGCTTCTATAAAAATCAAAATGATCTTGTTCTGCAATCTCATTCACATCAAGCCACGTCAGAACCAAATTAATTGCATCATTGATCATTTTCTTGTCTTCTGAACAAAGCTTCATGCTAATCTCCTCATCTTCTATTGCATTTCTCATCTTGATTGCATACTTCTCCAATGCCCTTCTTGCCTCTACCTTTTTCCTATACCTCTTGTCTTCATCTTTGTACTTCTCAGCATCTTTGATCATCGTCTCAATTTCTTCCTTTGAAAGCCTTCCTTTGTCGCTTATTATTTTAACCCTTTCGTTAACTCCAAGTGATTTTTCTGTGCTGGAGACATGTAAGATGCCATCATCATCAATTTGAAAGGTGATCTTGATTTGAGGAACACCTACCGGAGCCGGAGGAATTTCCAACACAAACTTTCCTAGTAAGTTATTCTCCTCGGCTCTTAGCCTCTCACCCTCGTAAACATGGATTAAAATTTTGCCTTGGTTGTGAAGATGTGTGGTGAACACATGTTGCATGTTTGTAGGGATTATAGTGTTTCTAGGAATTATGATTTCCATGATTCCACCATGAGTCTGCAATCCAAGGGACAAAGGAATTACCTCCCTCAATAGCAAATCTTCAGTCTTTTCACTAAACTCACCACTCAATATAGAAGCATGAACAGCAGCACCAAGTGCAACAGCTTCATCTGGATGGATGCTTTTGCATAATTGCTTTCCCTCAAAGAAGTCTCCCAACAGTTCTTGCACTTTTATGATCCTTGTAGAGCCACCAACAAGGACAACATCATGAATGCTACTCTTGTCAATCCCACTATCTATTAAACATTTTTCAACAATCTCCATGCACTTTTTGAAGTGATTCTTGTTGAGTTCATCGAACTTCGAGCGGCTAATCGTTGAGTAGAAATCTATACCTTGACTTAAACTATCTATCTCAAGGGTGGTCTCGGGAGTGGACGAAAGTATCCTCTTTGCTTTCTCGCAAGCTTTCTTCAACTTCCTAACCGATCTTCGGTCTCCACTAATGTCAATCTTATGCTTCCTCAAGAACTCCTTCACAAAATGATTCACTAGTGTGTTATCAAAGTCTTGTCCCCCTAGGTGAGTGTCGCCCGCGATGGCCTTAACTTGAATATCACCCTTCTCAAATGTAAGGATGGAGACATCCAATGTGCCACCACCTAAGTCAAAAATGAATACATTTCTTCTTCCATGATTCAATGGTTTCATGTGAAGGCCATATGCAATTGCTGCTGCAGTAGGTTCATTGATTATTCGCATAACATTGAGGCCTGCAATAACACCTGCATCTCTAGTAGACTGGCGTTGTGAGTTGTTGAAGTAAGCTGGAACAGTTATTACAACATCCTTCACTATTGATCTAAGGTAAGCTTCTGCAATCTCTCGCATTTTCGCCAATAGCATGGATGAGATTTCTTCAGCAGCAAAATGTTTTTCCTCGTCGTTGTAATTGACAACAATCATAGGTTTGTCATTGAGGTCGCCAATCACTTTAAATGGCCATAGTCTCATATCACTCTGAACTATGGGATCGGAAAATTTTCTACCAATTAGCCTCTTTGCATCTACACAACAAATATATATAATAAAGAATTTATAGATGAGAAAAAAATTTTAACTAGACAAAAGTATCAAAGTTTAGAAGGTTTTACCAAAGACAATGTTGGTTGGATTGCAAGTAACCATGTTGAAAGCAGGATCACCAATCATCCTTTCAGAGTCAGTAAAAGCAACATAAGAAGGTGTTGTTCTATTCCCTTGATCATTCACTATGATCTCTATCTGATCATTTCTCCACACAGCAACACAAGAATAGGTTGTTCCTAGGTCGATTCCTATTGCAACTTTCTTACCATTTCCTGCCATTTTTCTCTCAGGTCACCCCTAGTTTACAGATGGAATATAAATAGTGAGAACAAACCGTTGTTTGTTTTGTTAAATAATATAATTTGAATCAAGTAGGAGATTGACTTGTTAAAATTATAATATTTTTATGTTTTCTTTGTCATTGTGGATCAATTTTATGATTATATTTTTTGTCCATCTCTTTCATAAAAAGCAAGTGCATTATAGTTTAAGAAGAAAAAACATTTCAACCAAGACTTTTTCAGTTTGAGTAGGAAACTGTGCATTTATTCCTAATATGTTTAGTAGATTTTTTGACAACTCATTTTAGGGAACATGATATATCTTAAATAAATATTCAAACTAACTATCATTTTAATTAGCATTTAATTAATATGTACTGTCAGTGTAAAGATTTTTTATACTGTCAGTTAATCACAATCGCTAATTTATATAAAATATTTGACTTTTATTTTAACTACTTCAAAAATAATATCAATGAATATTGAGATGCATTGACAATGTACATTTTTTTACATTAACAAATATGACTATTAATCTCTTCCAACTAATATAACAAAATACTCCGGTTTTTAAAAACAATTTGAAAGAGACGCGACAAATCAATTGGCGCACCAAAACAAGTTTTAATCAAAATTGGTTCTAACATTATAACATATTTCACATTTTCTTTATATTTTATTAGTCATGTATATTTTGATTCAAATAAGTCTGCTATTTGAGTGATTTTTTTCCTTTCTTTTTATTGAGGTGTAATTCTTTTTTTGTGGACAGAGAGAAACTCTGTAGAATATTCATCTTCTTCTTCTCCAACATTATTTTCTTTCTTTTTTTCACAACCTTTCCTTTTTGTTGTCATTGCGTGAGTGAAACAATCTTGAGATCAAGATTGATTAGGAGTTTTTCATATTTTTGTTGCTGTAAATTGTTGGAAAAAAACAAACAAAGCATAGAGAAAAAAGAGGAACAGAATCACAACACAAAAACATAACGTCAAAACTCTAAAATTAAAGAAAAAATTACGGTCGTTGTCAATAGATAACCAGAGAATAACGCTATATAAAAATTGCTACAACACATAATATACCCTCAATTAACTTAGACTCTAGTATATCCACACCCTTCAAAACAAATATTTGACAGATACATTTTAAAATGAAGAACAAAACTAAAATAGCAAAGGTTAGAAGCTTTTACCAAAGACAACTTCTTAGTTGGATTGCAAGTAATTACGTTCAAAGCTAACTCACCAATTATCCTTTGAGAGTCCGTAAAAGCAACATAAGAAGGTGTTGTTCTATACTCTTGATCATTCACTACGATCTCTATTGCTCCTTTCTCCACACAGCAACACAATAGGTTGTTCCTATGTCGATTCCTATAGCATCTTTCTTGCCATTGATTAATCTCTTGCAAAACCACACACACGTTAGCTATGTTTTGAGAGGAAACACAAATATAACTAATGATTAAGGGTTGTGCATAGATATATTATACACAGCTCATAAATTACTTTGATTTATCAAATATGTGATTGGCTGCTTGACTTGTAAAGGTATATTTTTCTCTTATTTTGAGTCAACTATATTAAGATAACATTATTGTGTGTCGCTGGAATGATGTGAATACTCAGCAACTGTCTCACGTGTGTGACCCACTGTTTCGGCTTGTTCTAAAATAAAATAAAATGTAACCAAAATTTTTTTATCAATTTTATCTTTAATAAATATTTTTATATTATTTTTAAAATATATTTATACTATATTTTTATGATAACCAATAATAATTAACAATACATATCCATTAAAGTGAGATAGGTAATTGAAATTTTATTTATAGAAACGATGTTTCCGTTCTGCCATCCTCCTGCCCTTTATTTAATAGCTAAAAATTAATTTTAAAAGATATAGGTGCTTTGAAAAGATAAATTTATGTATATGAGAGTTTAAGATGGAACTTGAATGGGCAGCATAAAAAAAATTAGAGAATATCCAATTCCGAAATGCACCTATATTCATATTTTTAGAAATAATTTGTATCTTATTTACAATTTATTTATTTATAATTGAAATTATGAGATGGTGGTGATAATAAGAGAGAGACAATTAAGTTAATTTTTTAATTAAGTTAATTTTTTAACTAAGATAATTTTTTAATTGAAATTATGAGATGGTGTTGATAAGAAGATGGTTCCAATCAATTTGTTGTCAATCTCCCTAGAGTATTTATGAGATTTTGTACTGCCACCTTCTCCCTTCTCGCATCGACGAAAACATCCTTTTCATTATTTATTTCATTTTAAAATTACATTTGCTATAAATAAAAAAATCTAAAAGGCAGTAAAATTTAAAAAAATTCGATGATTTAAAAATTACATAATTTTTAAAAATTCAGTATATTTTTATCTAAATTTTTGAAAATATGATAGATCATATTTGATAGGTCTATAAGTAAAAAAAGTTCTGATTTTTTTTTTGAATAATTTGATAAATTCGGTATATTTTGTGAATTTTCATATTTTTGAAAAGTTCAAAAATTCATATTCGATAAGACAAAAACGAAGTTAACATTATTATAATTTTTTAAAAGTACGATATTTTATATCGGATATTTGAAAAATCTAGAATAAAAATAATTTAAAATTGTTTTCATTTAAGAAATCCCATATAAAATCATAGTTTTTTGGAAAGATTTTACACATTTTTTCAAAAATCAGTTAAAACTCATATATCCTCCAAAAATCCTGTAAAAACTCATAAAATTATTCAAAAATCTCGAAAATTTTCCAAAAATTCAAAAAACACATTATTATTTTTTAAATATAAGAAATCATAAAGATATTATGGTTAAATCACTACTATTAAGGGATGTCATAGATAAGTGGGAAGTTGGAGGCATGATAAAATCACGTTATTGATCATTTCATAGTCTTAATCCAATATTTTGTGTGAATATTTTATTAACATGTCTGTTTACTATGAATTTTGGTAAACAACCGTTGGTCTATCAACTTAGGGTAAAATTGACTTACTTGCAGGATTGACCATACTAAATCCTAGGACATGTGCTAAGTATGTAAAAGAAAAGACTCTCTAAGTTGAACTCCACGTTCGACTGGGAAATCTCTTAGTAAAGAAAAGCAAGTAATGCGTCGAAGATAAAAGCAAGAATGTAAAGTGCAATAATGTAAAGGCTTTGAAAGTCAAGTCAAAAGTAAATGCAAGAATGTAAATGACCTTTTTAAAGTAAATGACTTTGAAAATAAATATTGTAATGTAAAGGGCGAAAAGATTACAATCAAACTCCACATTCGACTATAATTGCTTTGTAAAGTAAATGACTTTTGAAGATAAATGTGCAAGAAAGTATATTGCTTTGGAAATAACTCTAATCGGAACTCCACGTCCGACTAGGGGATCTTTAAAAGTAAAGGTGCAGAAAAGTTAAATGGTTTGGAAAATAACTCTAATCTGAACTCCACGTTCGACTAGAGGATCTTTAAAAGTAAAGGTGCATAAAGGTTGTAAAAAGCAGTTTAGATGTAAAAACTGAAGTTAAAAAAATGACAAGTAAATGGCAAAGACAAGTAAATTGCATTGATAAAAAAGGATTTGGTGTTGTATCGCGTACATTCTCGCTAACTCGTTTCTCTACACGCGGGTACTTTGAGTTGTATGAGTGACTAGTACAGAAATGAATAAACACCCCTATTACATAAAATTTACACTTATTTATAGTGCTAAAAAATAACTATTATATGACGGTTGAGGCTTCACCACACGTTCCTTTTTTGCGCTTCTTTGCTATCAACCGCTCCCACGTTTTCCCTCGCTTAGTTTGAATTTTGAACACTTAATAATTCCCTCCAAACTTGGTTGTAATTTCCTTGCGTTCTCCTCAGCATGGCTTTCGTCGAGAACTTTCCAACACTTAGTATTTTTTAGCAACTTTGTCCACCTTTCTTCGACATGGAGTTCTCCTTTGTTGTGTTGAAGCATCCCCATATTTCAACTATTGGCATTTTGGCTTAAGATAATTCTGATTTTAACTAGCGTTGAAAATTGAAAGCCAACAAATTGCCCCCAAAAAATTGTCCTTTCTCCAGTTTTTGGTAGGAAGGTCAGTTTTTTCGCACCGTTTCGACGCGTGTTACTTTGCATGTCTTTGATTGAACTACCCACTACTTGTTTAGTGTAGTAACTGTTCATTTCTTTTCCTTCCACGCATATGACATCATGCCATCATGATAAATCCTTAAACGTCTTTTCAGCCGTATTTACCATTACTTTGTCTTGAAAACATACATTTGCAGTCTGACCATAACTGCCCACACGCATCCTTTCTTCAAAGACAAACACGCGTCCCACTACCTGATTGTATTCAACGGTGGATTTCACTCTTTGGGACTCGCAAACGTTTATAAATACTTCCCTTCACCGTTTTGTGAAATTTTTCCCACTCTCCATAATTTCAAGCATCTTATATCCTTCTTCAGCTTTCTTCATCTTCCTTAGAGAAAAAACCATTTCACTTCTAACAACAACAATGGCATCTTCCCAGTTTACTGTTCAAGAGAAGAAAACCCAGAAGGGACGCGTTACCCAATCCAAAAAAACCATTCCTCCTTTTATAAACATAGCTGGCCCTCAACTGGTGGAGAATCGTCAATGCGTGCTGGAACCCACCTCTAAAGCTGCCAAAAGCATCTAGCACTCTCAGGTAATAATCCCTTTAATCATTTCAGGTAAACCCTACGCAATCTCTGATCCTTTAGCACAAGTTGGCATTTTTGACGAAAGGCTGAGTGAGTTTTTGCCATCTTACCGGAGAACAAGGCCGTTAGGGCAAAAAGTTTCCCTGCACCTTTTACCAATACTGCTGAAGGTACTCCATTGCCAAATTTCAACCTTGGCTATCTTGCTGGCGGTACTCGATTGGTGAGAGTCGTTAGTCCTCTTAAGGATTTTGACCTTTGGATGGAAAAAATAGAAAAAGTTAAA